TGTTTTTTTGTTGGGGGGTTTGTGTGTTGGTATAAAACTCATGTAGGGGATTGTAAAACCCAGTGAAAGACTTCTATTATCTTTCACTAAATAACATAGGTTTTATGTATAGAAAAAGGGCTGCAGAAATTTGTAATCCATACTTTGTGTATGGTATGGTTTTGTTGCAGCTTTATTAGTAATATTGGTGTTGTGATGATGATGATGATGAAGAAGAAGATGGTGTAGGGCTTGAGTTGTATCATCAATATCAATGTAATTATTAGTATTTATATAATAAATTTAAACTAGTATTAAGAAGATGGTGTAGGGCTTGAGTTGAGATAATGAATATATGTGCAAAGTTATTTAGGTCTAATACTAAATTTAATTTCAGACCAAAAATGATATAAAGCAAGATCACGAAGTGTAGATTTTCGTCATGTCAGCATTCGAAGCGTGAGAATCTGCCACCTAAGCTCAACACGTTTTGAATTAATATATAAGGAGGAATATATATATATATAGTTTTAACACGTTTTGAATTAATATATAAGGAGGAATATATATATATATATATAGTTTTAACACGTTTTGAATTAATATATAAGGAGGAATATATATATAGTTTTAGGTTAGTAAAACTGTGATTTGTTTAGTTCTGTTGTTCTCCCCTTTCCCAGTGTCTTGTTCAATTCTAATTCATGTTTATATGAACTATAATTGAATAGAAACAGGGACTTGTTGAAAGTGTTTAAGTTTTAAATTCAAGCCTTGAAAACCCAGAAAAGGTGTAAAAGAACATGTCTAATAGAATCCTATTAAACCCAGAAAGGAGCAAAAGAACATGTAATAAACTAATAAATCATAGTCAATAAAGCATTGAAATCAAGAAAGGCTCCAAAAGAAAATGGAATTTAGTCCCCTCAGGAAGCAAGCAATTCTATTTGCATATCCAGTTGGGTTAATTCCAAGAACTGCACTAAAAAATTAGATTTTTCTTTTTTATTATTTGTGGCATAGGGTGTCGATCAATTTTGTTGTGAAGCCATTCGATTCTTAATTTCGGTTCTTCAGTTCGATATAGTAAGAGACGGTTTTGTTCGATTCGGTTCTCGGTACAGATATTTGTGAAATCTCCAGAACCGTACTAATTATTTTTTCTATTCGGTTAGTTTCGGAGAAAGTCAAACGGTCAATGGTTATTTTTCGGTTTGGAGTGTTTCAGTTCGGTTTTCAGAACGGTTCGAAATTCTCCGAGTCCCATGCTCAGCCCTAGCTACTTGTACCCCACCAACTCCGAGTCCCGAATCAGCAATACCTGTGCAACCCTGATGCTAGTGACACTCAATTTATATTTTTCTTTTCTGGAGTGAACGACTCGATTTACGGAGTCATCCACACTTATAATTCACCAATAGTGTATTGACGTGTCTTACAATAAAATACAATTTAGACAAGTGTCAATACATTAAGTGGTGAATGGTTCCATAAGAAAATCGGGTGCATTTTTGCTATAGAGTCATCAGATGACTCGACTTATGGAGTCATCTACACTTATTCATCATTAGTGTATTGACACGTGGACTACAATAAATACAATTTGGACAAGTAATTAAGTAATGAATGACTCTATAAAAATATCATTCAATTGGCTCCATAGATTTTTTATTTATTTATTTATTTTTTTTTTTTTGGTGTCAATTGCCCTTGTTCTTATCTCACCAAAGTTTGCATTACTTGAAAGAAAAGATTAGTAAGTTGAACATTTGATGGTAA